AAACTGTGTAAACCCATTATAGTCATAATAGGGGAATTGTATTTCAATATAATCAGTTGTATGAAATAAATAGATTTTCTTTGTGAACAGAGTAATTGTTGCTGCAATTTTGATATATGATTTGCAATGAATTTCATACTGCATCCGCTAATCAATAATGCACAAGTAAACTGTAGGACTGGAGAAAGTATTCACTTGATAATTTGATTTGAAATTTGGCTCTTTTGAGACGTCATCTGCAAGTCATTGTTGTAAGATTCTACTATATGGTGTGTGTTTATATCGCAAATCCCGTATGAAATACACCATTATCGAATAACCTTTTCACTGTTTGTGTAACGCTTAGCCACCATCATACATTGCTGTATATTTCGTGTGCTCGGTTGTTTACAGTTATGTCTGTCGTTATGACGGTATTTATTGTGCTGTCACGGTCCAAACATCAATGGCAACCCTCACTGAATCCTTTGTTTTGACTTTGATCACCTGTTCTCCTCATTGATAACCTTTTAAATTGTTTGATCATGGATCGACACCAAATGTTTATTTGAATGTACGTGCTCCTGAGACCCTCGGTAACAATACATCATTGGTGAATATGACGGATGATGTATCTAAACACTGTTTGCTTCCATTGTGCTTGCTAATTCATTGGGGTTTTACAACAATACGCAAACGTAACTGTGTTTCATATTAAATAAAGTTTTAACAAGATTATTCTGAAATTAAATATTGCATATGTTCAATACATACAGCTTTTCGACGTTAAGGTTGTGATTCACAATTTGCACGTTCATGGTTGTGCATCCGTTTGGGTTTTACAACAATGCTTCTTATAAAATTGAGTAAAATCTTTTACTTCTTAAATTAAATAGTGCGATACATGTTCAATACATACAGTCCTCGACGTTAAGATCGTGATTCACAATTTGCACATGCATATTTCTCCACTGTGCACAATTTGGATGTGTGCGTTCGGGGGTGTGTTTGGAGCATGATGTTCACGCACGTGGTTTTGAATGTGAACAGCTCACAAGCTCAAGAACGCATATAACGCTTACACAGTGCCAGGGTTAGCTGAAAACTTTGCTGAAACATCTACCTTTGGAAAACGATTTTAATGTTCATCGAAACACAATGTCATCCCTTTGGACGCTTTTTTTACAGCAGGGCAAAACTCATCACTTGCAATAATACCAGCTCGGGCGATTAATACGCTCGCGCAAGATAGTGGTAGAACTGTGTGCTAAAGAATGAGGAAACACAACATCCCACCCCTGGGATGCTTATATGCGTCACTGCATATCTTGGTGAAGACAGCAACTGAAGATCAGAAGACATTACCGAGACACTATACTGCTCACAGACGAGGGCAGGTTTGATCTTGACACATCTGGTGGTAGTGATAAGGTTTACGGGCATCTGTTTTGCAACGATGATTATTAACGGCAGATCCTCAACCTCACCAGCACAGATTCGGCTGGAATGAGATGGATACCCTCTACGACAAGATCAGAACTATCCGGTTTCGCTCTCTCAGTTGGGACAATCTTTGGTTGGCATGTGGAACAACACACACACACATCCTGTTTACAATCATCTCGTGTTACAAATGCACCGCCGTTGCACTGCCTGTCTCTATGCAAATGGTGGTTACATACAATAGTGACATTGTTGTTTGAGTAGTTATAGACTAACAACTAGTCTCTGAAATGAACATATTTCACAATAGAAAAAATAATAAAATATAATGAAAAGGAGCCATGAGAATTTCCTCATTTTCAGAAACTCTGGAAATCTAGACTTGCCACATATTCTAGACTTTCTTAGATATATTTGGCTTTCTTAGATATATTTGTTTCAGGGTCTGTATGACAGACTCTTTAAGGGGAATGGATGTCCAAATAGAAAAACAAGAACAAATCAATCCTTAGCTATAGCGTTATGTCCTGCCTTGAGCCATACTTTTGATACTTTATAGATTACACATTTTGCTAACGCTTGGTCGAAATAAGTATTTGTATTGTATATCTCAATATTATTGTCTGGCGTCTGGTGACATGTAAAACGTATTTCAAGGAAGTAACGTATTTCTAAAGCAATCCATTAATATTTAACGTCAGTGGCAGAGAAGAACCAGTATCGATTATCTGCCGAAACATATTCCTTTAGAAAGCAAGACGAAAGCGGTGAATGACATCAGGACAATGTTCCATTACTGTTTATAAATTGTATATGTAACTAATAATTCAGTCAGGGGCAAGTAAAATTGAAATTGATATTATGACCAAAGAATTATGCCGTGATGATCACCGTTTGGTATTATTTTAGTTACAAGATAACAATTGCGTGAGAATACGCTTCAGATCATAGCCGCCAGTTTAGGTAAACGGCAAAATAACGAAAAGTATGGAATCCTAGAATGGATTCTAGGATTACACAATGTCCTTTCTAGGATTCTATAGAAAAGAGCGTTGAAACGCCTAAGATGGTATTTTCCTTTTAAAACATTTTTTTCTCCGGTGACAGCATACATGTATAAGATATTGAATCAATTATTAAGGGTGACTGTATTTTTGTATGACAATTAAATATTTGCACTATATTTTGTTATGTTAATTTGCCAAGACAAATCGGTCTAAATATATTTAAAGTACCTACATCTTTTATTGTGATTGCATCTACTACCTTCAGGCACGCTATCATAAGATTAATGTATAATCCAAATTGCACAGAAATTCATTACGAGGTTTTAATATCGCATTTCTTCCAACCGAGACTTTGGCGAAGTAGACACAGGTTAACGGGAAGACATTGCTCTTGTCTAAGTTGACAAACATTAGTCGCGATTTCTATTTATCGCTTCCTTATTTCCCCATCTAGAAACAAATAAATCGACATTGTAGAAGTCTCTCGGTACATAATGTAGAGAGACATGTATTCCTGGCAATGTACAGTAACCAAATAATCCTATAGCATCTTTGGCGTAAATCGATTTGCCTTGAAATACGTTCCTAGACCGAGTAAGAAATCATGAAATGATGTAGTGTGCATATTTGATGTGTATTACGTTAATAAACATCAATAACGATTGATTCTGTTGTATTTGACAGTGGTATAATGTCATAACTTTACTCATTAAAACCAAGTCGCGCGCTCAGTTGTCGAACATCACACAGGAGAATAAAATCCTGTGAATCGTTGAAGGGTGTATTAAGGATATTTGATGTGTATAACGTTGATAACAACAACAGCGATTGGACAGAGATGCAACAACTTTAACGGTTATGTTTTAGACATTTGAAGAACAAGACGGTGGCGCCACCAGTAACAAGAGTTATCGGGAGATGGCATGTGCACTTATTCTGGTGCAATTAAAAAAAGTGCCATGTTGCTTATACTCGTATGTTGGTCAATGCCAAAGGATACCTTCCGTTCAGTGAAGCAAACTTTAATGGCGTAGATTTCAAATTCATCAAATCACCATTAGACTGATCTGTGCACATTAGAAACATTCAATGGTTTTACAGTTATGATCCAGAAATGAGCACTTCCCTTATATGCAATATATCCAGATAGTCCTCATGGAAAATACAAATTATCAAAGGGCAGCAGTTCATCACTAGACTGACCAGTATAGCACGTTTCATCCAAATGTATGTAACTGTTTAAGAGTTCTTCTTTCACTTTCAGTTACTTCCAACCTGTCAGGAAGAAAAAGAATTCAAAATTTCAAATTCCAAAGTAAAAGGCACCAGTTCATGGAAATACCAATCCGCATAGCAAGTTCCAACAAGAAATATTGCATTGTTTTCAATAAAATTATCAAATCACCATTAGATTTCTGCTCCAGAAAAGCAACCGAACTATCTGTAACTGTCAACTTCAACATTATATATCAATATCTAACTATCTAGTAAACATTGACAGCAATTTGTCATCACCGTCGATGCTGCATATATCCCAACAATCAGGGAATTCATGCTTCTCCCTTGTCCTGTATGAACATATGTCGCACCAGTAGAAAGATGCACTTTAGTTTTCTAATTTGCATGTCCTTAGAGTAGTGGTTTTAGTTAAATAATAAAATGTATATCTAACACATATGTGTTGAGCTTAAAAACATATGTGGTAACTTTCTTCCCAACTTCCCATTCCTCTTCGATTCATCATGGCTGGAAATTGATGGATTCAAAAACTATTTTGCAAATGAATGGACTATTACTGCATTGAAATAACCTCATTTTAAGGTTTTGTCAAGGACACTTGGCCACAACCACTTGAAGTGTTTCGACTGATATTGCCGTGTTGATAAAGGGAATACACTGTTGAATGTTATGTCTTTCGTGAAAAACACAATTTACGAAGTTAAGATCATGCCTTGGGCGTGTAGAGAAGCTATTATTAATCTTTATTCAAAGTTGATCTGTTCTTTATAATTCCATTCTTTTTCTGGTGATATGGCGCCATTACTAGCTTTGTGTACGTACAATAACGATAATGAAATACATTATTGTAATGCTTGTCTTTTGAAATGTTTACGTCCTTCCTTAATGAGAAATATATATTTGATTGGATTTCTTCGTTGACTGTAATGTACCGTCTCTGTCCTATGAATCAGATGATACAAATGTAATGTTATTATCACTTACAAAAGCATTGGTTTAAGATTTTATAAGAATCTAGCACTTTGAAGACGCCTTACAACAGTTGGCAATTTCTCTGATACAAAGGACGATGCACAATTTGTCGGAGGGTCTGTTTTCATGGACTGGTGTGTATTAGTAGCAGACTGGAGTCCAGAAGATTGAGGCAGTAAGATGTCTTTGCTAACTGTATCCACACTGACAGTTTGTATCTTATTGTCAAATGCACATCTCTCGTTCGGGACAACTGCCAAAGTGTTTACCCCTTCTGAAAAAGTTTCCGTAGCGGGTCAACAATTTAATCTTGACTGTTTGAAGAAGTGTGCTTGGTCTGATAGTTGTCTGGCCACCATCATGTCGGCGGAGAACAGAACGTGCAGTCTCATAACGATGTCCAGGTTGCAGAACATGAACAGCTCCGATGTCACGTACAGACAGGTGGGTCACGGTTTGTGTAGTTTTAAGTGAGAGAGTGAGATTTGCGCCACTTTTAGCAATATTCCAGCAATATTACGACAGGGGACACCAGAACTGGGCTTCACACATTGTACCCATGTGGGGATTCGAACCCGGGTTTCAGCGTGACGAGCCAACGCTTTACCCACGAACCTCCCCCACCGCCTCTTCATCGTTCTGGAACTAGTTCGACCTGTCACGCCTCGGGGATAATGGCAGATGGATAACTATAGGTATGCTTCAGTCAGGCACTAGCGTGACGTTGCTTGTCGATTCAACGCACCATTTTGTACGTTTTGAGCCAATCAAGCAAGTTATAGACCGCCCATTTAATTGCCGTCTACAACTAACGACCCGACGTCAAGACCGATGGATTCGAACCACTCACCTCCCACACAGGTTGCAGCCAGCCCCAGCCCGTAGCCTGGACACAGAGGTGTATCTGCGAGGACTGTTTGACGACTCCCAGTCCGACCGCCAATTCTGACATTCGGACATCGACATCAGCGTATCTCGTGGAACAAAGAACGCTTGTCATGGGGAGCACGCAATTGGAGAAGATACGTCACGTTGCCTTCATCACCGAGATCTAGGCGCCGGATGAACGTTACAACAGGCCATGTATTCAAGAAGAGGGTCGTTATGGAAGTGGAGGCGTTATGATCTGGGTTGGAATAACTTCCTCAGCAAGGGCGACAGTGAGAGTACTTGAGGGGAACTTGAATGGTGTGATGCACGGAGACGAGATTTTGCAAATGGCCGCTTTACCGTTTTTAGCAACAGAACGGAGTGACGTTTCAACACGATAACGCAGAGTATTGTAATCAGAACAATGTTTATGTGTCGCCTATGCCCGTAATTTCCCTAATTCGTCACAAACTGAACATATATGGGGCGAAATGGAGCAACGTTTACGACGTCATCCCAATACTCCCACACAGCTGCCCAAACCGCCAAATCAGCCCTGGGATATAGAATGATCTTCACCAGGACTCTCATCGACGTTTTACTGGCCCCATAATGACGGAGGCGCCATGCCTGTATCAATGAAAAATGTGCATATTCCAGGTGCTCTCTGCTTATAGGTTGTATGTCATTTCCATACCACCCGTGAAGGCCCGGGTTAGAACTGATCCGGGCTAGTAACCAATGCTTGTCGTAAGAGGCGACTAACGGAATCGGGTGATCAAGCTCGCTGACTTGGTGGACGGTTCCTCGGTTCCTAATTGCGCAGATCGATGCTCATGGTCCAGACTCGATTATTTATAGACCGCCGCCATATAGCTGGAATATTGCTGAGTGTGGCGTAAAACTAAATTCACTCATTCACTCATTACCATACCTTGAAATATTTGTCATTTCTATGTTAATTCGTGGCAGTAAACGTTTAACTCTGGTTCTCTTCTCTTCTGATTCTGTGTCCAACATTGTTTTAAGACAAAAGTTCCACTTTTCAGACGTACCCTTCCCCGTGTAAAAATGGCGGCTACTGGTTAAATTCAACAATGGAGTATTGCGTTTGTTTTGGCAGCTTTGCTGGAAGGTACTGCCAGCGGTATTGGTATGGTGAGTATTGATGTTAATGCTTTATGTTTGCTTTTCATAAACAAAACGGATACCCAGAAGGAATGGAGAAAGTAAATGAAGACTATAATACTAGTAAGTACCGGAGTTGGGATTCCCACCTCCACCGTTTCCATGTGGTTATATACCTGTAATATACAAAATAATGACAAGTGGACACAATTGTCACGAGGAGAATTATTTTCGCAATAAAAGAATATCAAGGTAGTATTTTACGTCTTGAATCGTGAAACAAGGTCCAGAATTGTGCGCAATCGGCACTACTTTTGGCGCCAGTGTGTAGTCTCGATTGTACTGTCCAGTGACCCTCCATGGGAATTATGCAGTGGGCAGTGGCTTTCTGGCAGTCATAGTTATCCCGCCCCAAAATCTGTTGCCTAAACGGTGATGTTTGAATAGCGTTCATTATGATGCCCCCAGACACATCAAAAATGCTATTTGTGTTCCATTTCCTAAAGCGTGGTTTCTGATTATTCTATCTGGCGCTTATCATATGTGTATTCAGATGCCCTTTCTGTTCACATGTTGCATTAAGTAAAGTCAGAGTACATAAGTGTCAGTGGGTGAGTTTAGTTATAACGCTCCTTTTAGCAATATTCAAGCAATATCAAGACGGAGGACGCCAGCAATGGGCTGTATGCATTGTACCCTTGTGTGGAATCGAACCCTGGTCTTAGGCGTGACAAGCGAACGCTTCAACCACTAAGCTACCGCCACGTTTTACTAAAGAAACAGGATTGATCACCCTGATACCCACGTGCACGGAGAAAATGGTTGACTTGAAATGTTTTAGATCTGTTGAGGCAGTGGGTTTTTTCCAAAACCATTGTATCATTGGCATTCCCTTTCTAAAGCTTATTGTTTTTCTGAACATAGCAGTTGTGTTTTATGATCCCATTTGCTTGTGATTTATATGCCAATGTGTGAATGTCTGTATGATTAACTGTTACAAAACATAACGTAACAGTCCACTTGTATAGCGCTAACACCATGCTCAATTCATGCTTTATGCGCACAGTTGGTAGAAGATACAGAGAAGATAAGCTTGTCTGAAGAGATACGTTTTAATGCTTGTTTTGAAGGTTGATAGTGATTCTGAAAGATTCTGTTACAGATGGTATGGTGTATGTACTTAATTTTATGATAAAAAAATTTGAACTGAACGTACATTTTGCACATCTTTACATTATTTCACTATAATGAAAAAAAAAGATAAATAAATATGAACTACAGTTTGTTCAGCTTAACCTGATAAAGTGAATACTAATGCATTGCGTGACCGAGTCACAAGTGGTTGGGTCTATTATTGTGAAGGGGTGCACCTTTGTCAGTTGACTGTCAACATGTCCGAACAGCCGAGACAAGGTCGCCGTTTAACATCTCAGTATCGAGAAGTTGTGAGCAATGTCCTAATTTCTTTAAACAGAAGCTACAGATGGCTTAATGTTTCCGATTCGAGCTTTCAGGCAGCGAGCAGCAACATTGATAACATTCTCTGCTCCCCTAGTTAATGAAGTTAACTCGACCTGCCGTTTGTGTCATTTGACCTCCCGGGTCATGCATATGTAGAGTAGCTCAGGTCAAGCTGAACAAGCTGTAATAGTCGTTCATCTTGAGGTTCTTCAGGATGTTTCCCCTAATACTGGATGTCTCAATAACACCGTTTCATTATCAGATTGTAGCGAGGGATTCAGGACTGGAGCAACAGGCAAGGGTGTCTTCACTATTGAACCTGATTCCTCTTCCTCGCCTTTCCAAGTTTACTGTGATTTGCGGTTTGGAGGAAGAACCTACATTCAGAGGCAGGACTATGGCATCAACTTTAATAGGACTTGGCGAGACTATCGAGAAGGCTTTGGGAATGTCACAGGTGATCACTGGCTTGGTTTTGAGAAAATTAGAGCGATGAATGACAGGGCGATATGTCAGTTTGTAATTCGTCTCACTTACAACCCGAGATGCTGCCCGACATATAGACAAGCTAACTTTAAACACTTCAAGCTAACTGATGAAGATGATGGATACAGATTGACATTTGACAGTCTAACTGCAGGACAATCCAGTAAAAATCGGCTCACTGACATGTTAACAGAAGTGAAGGGTGCTAAATTCAGCACTTATGACAGAGACAATGATGATAATCCAACCGGAAGCTGTTCACAAATTCACGGAGCTGGATGGTGGTTCAAGAACTGTACACGTTGCAACCCCAATGGCCGATTGAATCCAGATGCAGTCAATGTCAGTGCCGATCCTGAAGAAGTGTTCTGGGACGGAGATCCACGACGGGTTTCTGGGGTGCACACTGCGTTACAGTGCAAGTAACACCTGAAGAATACCTCTTTCGGTCACGCATATGGGCGCAAATTCTTTTATCCTGGATTCTTTGTGATAAGGAGGTGTATTGGTTTGTTTTACAACATTTATCAGCGATGTGTTCAGTAGCTGGAGATAAGTCTACTGTTGTGTTTAGAGATTTAGGAATTATAATGGCAGATTTAACGCCTGTTCGACACACGCGTTTGAAACTAGAACAAACACCCCATCCCCTCACCCCATTGACTTGCACCTGCTAATTTAATCTATCGTCTTTGTCAACATGTCTAAGTATACATACAATGGGAATAAAGGGTGAATTCGCAAAAGGGTGTGGTCTTTTCGTGAACTGGTTTCGTTCAGTAAGAAAGCGTGGAATTCAGTTAAACACTCAAAGAACCAGGGCCCCGTTTCACAAAACTATCGTTGCGCTACGACTATCGTAGGTCAATGTTACAGTATAGGAGGTAGGAATGCTACGAGAAAAGTTACGAGATCTTAGACTTACGAGTGCTTTGCGAAACGGGGCCCTGACAAGGCTTTCGTAGCGTTACGACTGTCGTACCCCCTATACTTCAACAAAGACTTACGACAGTCGTAGCGCTACGACAGCTTCGTGAAACGAGATCTTTGTCAGATCGTTTAGCTGGTCATGACAGGGGCCCCTGATATAAATATTTGCTTGCTCATGAAGCTTCCCATATGTCTGGGAAATGTCCAATCATGGAAACCCGTGAAGATCCGGTTAGCATATTGATCTTCTGTAACCCATGCTTGTCGTGAGAGGCGACTAACGGGATCGGGTGGTCAGGCTCGCTGATTTGGTTGACACATGTCATCGGTTCCCAATTACGTAGATCGATGCTGTTGATCACTGGATTGTCTGGTCCAGACTCGATTATTTACAGACCGCCGCCATATAGCTGGAATATTGCTGAGTGCGGCGTAAAACTCAACTTACTCACTCCAATCATGGAATATCAACCACATACCCAACTGATATCATTCCGTCAATCCGGAACCCAACAAGTGGAGATTTGGATTTAGCGCAGCTTTAAACCATATTTCAGCAGTAATGTCACAGCGATAGTTTCATGACAACGGTTGTCTGAATGAACATTCACTTCCAAACTCAACTTTACACATACCGGATAGGCATGAACTAGGGACTAGAATCATCCACATTCCATAAATTATACTCCAATTTTTAATCTTCAACTAGCCAGCCACCAACGGAAAGCTGTGAAACTCCTAATCCTCTCAGAGACAAAAGAGACAAAATCAGGACACCCTACTCTGGTTCCGGATTAACCCTGAGCAAGCTTCAAACTGTAATGAACAGTATTGCAGCAATAGCTTAAAACGTAACCCAACATACGTGTTCCACACGTCAGAATAACCATGTACAAAGGTCCCATTCCCACAATTGACACAGGCCCGTGTATCATACCTAAGAGGGTGTGCCATGAATGACCAGTAAAACTACCCCCTATATTAAATCTCCCTCAAAATAATTTACTTGTGAATCTAACGGGAACTAGGCAAGATTCGCAGGCAACAAAAGAATGCAGAAACGCGAGACACAAGACTAACAGAATGCTTGTTCTTCAAATAAGCACAATGAACTGATATAAACACCGACAATGACTGAGGGAGAGAAAGGCATTTGTTTGGGAAGATGGAAGTCTTCGGAGAATGCAGTTCTGAAGCAACAGAGTTTGAAACGCATCAAATCCTTGGCACAAAGTAAAGTAAATAATGAATCCGACTCGATTAAATTGTCTGATCGGAAACAAAGCGTCTGTACTTAATTAAGCTAGGTAAAATTATTTATTTGTTTGAAACTTTGTGTGTGTTTGTTGCCCCACTCACCAATATTCTAGTTATATGGCGAGCGAGTTTCCCAAAGAAAATAAGAAAATGGAAGTTGCGTGTTACTATTGACGACACTTCAAGAATACAGATAAATATTACTGACTGACTGACTGAGTTTAGTTTTACGCCGCTTTTAGCAATATTCCAGCAATATCACAGCGGGGGACACCAGAAATGGGCTTAACACATTGTGCCCATGTGCGGAATCGAACCCGGGTCTTCGGCGTGACGAGCCAACGCTTTAACCACTAGGCTACCCCACCGCCCAGATAAATATTAACGTCAATATTCGTAGTTTATCTACTTATGTGATCGAAACTCGTCAAATGTTAAAACCGTACATCGCATTAACGTATAAAAGGTAGCCTTTGTTTCTTTGACTAAATGTTAACAGCTTGGGAATCTGTGAATGCGAAGTTATCTCCCATAGACTAAAGCTTGGAATGCAGTACTGAGATGGACGCCACGAATCAATGTTTATCTTTCGATCGAAATCGAATGAAGCATCAGACTCGTGCAATTCAACTGATAAGTATCGATTGGATTGTCTTGAATGTATATGTGTTACAGTCAGACTGTGTTATCAGTCATTTCGTGAAACAACTGAAACTTTCAGTCGATTCGGGGAATGACTGTTTTGGTAAATCAGTTCATGAAATGACTGAAATTTGGCCCTGTGAGTTACACTATCTGACTGAAATGGTTGTTCGTTGGTGATACTTCATATATGATTTTGTGTAGGTTTTTTGTTTTGTTTTTTGTTGTTGTTGTTTTTGTTTTGTTTGGACAAGGTAGTACCCGGATGTTCTCGTTCTGAGCATCAATCAAAAGGAGGGCGGGTATGGTCATATTGATTGACGAATAAACCTGTGACTATCACAATGCATCCCTATACATTCAACCCGGGGAAAAAAACATGTTTGGTGTGCCAGAATCTGATTGAAGCGGTTACTGTGCGACACTGGGTTATCTCCCTTGAACCGCTTGGAGAATTCGCGGTTAATAAAGCCAGATTGCAATAACATAATGATAAACGAAACTCTTCGTTTGTTCTTATGAATTAAATATTTAATGTGTGGAAATTCATTGTTCAAACTTGATAATTAGAGGGTATGGCAAATTTCAATGTCATTCATATAGTTTATCTGCCTATCTGGACAATATTTTACAATCTGTGTATTGATTACTACATACAATACTACATGAATTAAAATAATTACTTGTATCACCTGTAGTTTGAGGACTTTGATTTCTTATCAACAAGATTCCATACATTTACGATAACAGCAGAGTAAGTCACTGCACAACATCGTTCACTGAAGGGAACAATCAAATATGGTTCTGTTGCTAAACACGCGACATTAAGAAACGCTTCCAAATGCCGTGTGAGAACTACAGGACGTGTTCGAGCGATATAATTTAAGAAGCTATGAACGGCTTTCGCGAAGGTTGGCATAGAACCCAGTTTATGAGTTTCAACTACACTTAGATTATTGGGTAGTGGTTTGATACTGGTATGTGTGGGGCGGTGGGGTAGCCTAGTGGTTAAAGCACTCGCTGGTCACGCCGAAGGCCCGGGTTCGATTCCCCACATGTGTACAATGTGTGACACTCATTTCTGGTGTCCTCCGCCGTGATATTGCTGGAATATTGCTACAAGCGTAAAACTGAACTCACTCACTCACTCACTGGTATGTGTGTGTGCGTGTCACCGTGTGTGAGAGATGGACACACACATACCACGAGACAGAGAGAAACAAGGGACAGTGAGAGGGACACAGGCAGAGGGCTCTGTGTGTGTGTGTGTGTGTGTGTGTGTGTGCCTGAGAGTGTGTGTGCCTGAGAGTGTGTGTGCGTGTGTGTGTGTGCGTGTGTGTGTGTGTGTGTGTGTGCGTGTGTGTGTGTGTGTGTGTGTGTGTGTGTGTGTGTGTGTGTGTGTGTGTGTGTGTGTGTGTGTGTGTGTGTGTGTGTGTGTGTGCCTGAGAGTGGATGTGTGTTTAAGAGAGACGCAGCTTCAGGGTGAGAGAGAGCGTTTGCCTTCATGTCAGTATTTGGAGTATATCTATATTCACAAGTTTTATATCAATCAAGTTCAAAATACACATTTAGAATGACAGCCATACAACAACCGATATTTGCATGACAGTTTCCCGAATAATTGTTTGGTTGGATAATGTGATCACTGTCGACCACGACAATCCATGACGTCTAACAGGAAGAGTGAATGCCAAGGCAACAAATTCATATGGTTGGCTGAAAGGAAGTAAATTAACTACATTTCTGTCTGAATGTTATCTGACTTTGCACACCACGTGCCAGCTGTTGTAGAAATGATTGGACGAAGAATGTCATGTACTAGAATGTTCCTCAGCATCCCCTTTCGGAAATGCCTCTGCTTTGGATTGGGAGTGCGTTTTGTTTCTGCTTATTTTAGTGACAGATAATATGAGACTGATAGCCAAAATGCAACAGCAAAACAGTTCAATAACGACCAGTCGAGTATATCTGGGTCATCACCCCGTCCCTGACTGACTCTCGATGTGAGGGTACGCTTTCCACCCGACTGACAGTCCAGCAATAACGAAATTCAAGTACCGGTGTTACCCCAAAGGTGAAATTCTGTATTTTATTGTTGATGACAAATTCTGTGATGTTGTAGGTAATGGTTTGTATCTTGAAGAGATACTCGGGACTCTCAGGACTCACCGTGCTTGCTGTAGTTCAATGTACACGGATCAATGTCATGCATAGACAAGAAACAGAAGCCTTGAAATACGAACAAGAAACATAGAGATAATTATAAGAAAATCGACAGATACCCAAAACATAAGCGCACCACAAGTTCAAACTGGACAAATGTCAGCGAGTGCTCCTTGTCACCCCTAATCCTGTGTAAACACTGACTGGCTCGCTGAGGAAGATCATTTTTCCACCACGGGCCCTACAGTTCAGATTTATCACGGGACAGGGGCATGTAATATAACAAAGAAATAAAACGATTACCGTTTGTCTTACAAACATTGTAATTAAACAAAGCATGGGATAGTGTATCTAAAACAATGCTTACCTGGCTTAAATGTAGTCTAAATGCAGTACTGTACAAAGCTCTGCATTGGAAAAAAGAAAATAAATGAATTTCATTTCAGTGGTCATTAATATTGTTCATTGTTGATTTTCAAAATCAGTCATATTATTCCATAGATTAAAAATGGCTGTAGTTCTTCCTGGTGGACTTATGGAGATTGTCTTCTCCTTCGACACAACCGGTTCCATGAACGCCTGTCTGACCGAAATTAGAGGTCGACTCCAGGACATAATACAGCGACTCCAGGCTGACATCCCCGCCATCAGAATGGCCGTCTTCGCCCACGGTGACTACTGTACCAAATCATCATATGTCACAAAATGGATCGACTTCTCCACTGACGTCAAGAAACTCTGCGACTTCGTCATGAACGTCAAAGGTACCGGGGGCACTGATGATGGCGGCGAGTGTTACGAGCTTGTTCTCAGACAGGTTGGGGAAAATTTGTCATGGACACCAGGATCCAACCGAGCCCTGGTCCTTGTCGGGGACGACAACCCCCATGAACCAAATTTCAGAGCTAATAAACGAAAGATAGACTGGAGAGAGGAGATTCGAACTCTCCACACAATGGTAAGTAGATTTTTTCCCAATTGTTTCAAACATCATAATCGTATTCATATAGCACATGAAGAGTATTGTATGCCCGATATATTCACAAATCTTTATTTCCAGGGAATAAAGATTTACGGAGTCGAGTGTGATAACTGGGCTACGATATTCTACCGGACTATTTCCAAAGAGACAGAATGTCGACATCTTAAAATCGAAAACTTTACTGATATATTTGACTTCCTCATGGCCATCTGCGACAGGGAACATGGAGCAGAAATCTTTCATGTAAGTTGAACAAATTTCTCTTTTCTTTCATATCTGCCGCTGTATCCTAATTTCAATAAAGGCCTCTATGGTTTGTAATTTCCCTTGGTTTGGCTCTAACAGCAATGTTTGGTTTATCTGTGCAGTAAGCACAGAAATGGAAGTAATGTTTGCATCACTACGGGATGGAGTATCCTCCCCTCCCCTGCCAAAGACGAAGACGTCAGCTGGCGTTCCTGAGAAAGATGAGACAGCACCAGTCTTAAAGACGACGACATCCATGCAAGGAGTCAAACAGGCCAGGAAGAATGCTACTGTTGCTGTCAAGGAAAAGTTGAAGGTTCCCCGTTTGAAGAAAACAGCATCCAGTCGAGGGGTCCAAAAGTCTAAACGTAGGTCAACCAGAACACCGAGAACCAAATCACTGAAGGTGAAGGGAAAATAACATTTTCAGTTGTTCGTATTTTGATGCTTGATTGAAAATTTGACTGTTTATATGATTTCTTTACATTTGTAATTCCAGAAATAAAATATATTGTGACCCTCTCCTGAGAAGAGAGGAAGGCTGTGAGAAAGACTTCTGCTTCAGAAACATGAACCGGTCACCTTGGTTCAGAGTTGCCTCCCCTAAAGTTCCCATAGTTGACATAGGTTAGAAATTGAAAAGACAAAATGTGTATCATTTCTTAATTATCTGTCCTGCCTTCATTGACTTAAGATGTAATTATCAGTTACTGCAATCCTATGTATTTCCCAACATATTAAATTTAAATCTTTGTTATGATTCCAAAAATGTAGATATTTCCTTGAATACTGCAAAATATGTGTCTCGTGCATTAGAAACAAGGAAAATAATTTGTCACATTAAGATTATATATGCTGTGCATGCTTCCATTGTTATCTTTATATTTCATGTCTGTACCGATGAGGTGGTTTTTTTGTACACATAGGCCTATGGCCTCACAGTACTGGAATTAAAGATAAGATTTGATTTGATTTGACTTCCAAGTCCTATGATTATGCTTGAGTTGTCTCTGATAACGCTCCCATGCTTGCCATGTGTACAATTATGCAGCTGAAGGAGAAATATAAACACGGTATAGATTGTGCGCAAGAAGAAAATTACTTATTTCATGACACTAAATGAATCTGTAAGAATTCATCTCTATGTCCCTTGTCGGATGTTTCATGCAAACTTAAAGTTAAAGTTGACAGGGTTGGCTGCATGGCATTGTATCCCGATTTTGGCTCATGCTGTCACTCACTAGTTTTATATGAAGGCTTTGAAGGTGAATTATTCATTACTGTGATTTTAAACATATATAATGCAGATATATGCACACTTAGACGTCTGTGAGGATATAGACATATACTGAGGCGAACAAATAAGGGAACAAATAATAGTACAAGTGTTCCTTTATCCTTTTCCAGGTTTCGCTGTAAGCTTTGTATTGTGCACTGTTGGTGAAATTCTGATTATAAATAAAGGAACCATGCGATGAAGTGGTGTTCCCTTATTTGTTTCCTTCAGTATACTTGCGCATATCCACATACACACAGGCTGATACACAAACACTGACAGACACTTTGGTCTACACATGTTAACTTCTTGCGTACATACACACATGCGCACAAACGACACACCAACCAATTATCACACTGTGGTACACCCCCATGAATGTGGGCACTCTTGCCATCTGAATGGAAGTTCCAGACATACTGATGCATGCACATGCAATTGCACTAACATGCATTCGTAGTCCAGTGAATTGTTCGTCTGGCCAGAGAGTGGAAGGACTGTGGTTGGATAGTCACCGGTCATATACCCACATTCAAACACACGCGCACACTCACAGACACGCACACACACACACACACACGCACGCGCGCACGCACGCACGCACGCGTATCATGGAACGGTTTTTACACTTCACCTCACTGGTTCCCACACTCAGTCTAAATTCATACCCAGACACACAAGCTACTACAAAAAGAGTGTTCTCGCTTTTACTTTCTTCCTTAAGCACGTTATTCATCACATATATTTTGCTATGCATTCCTGGCAGTATTCAAGGGGAATTTGGTGTAATTATGTAAATACTTGTGTAAGGGTTGGCGGCATTGAAAACAATAACCTCACTTGATCTTTTGATCTAAAGGGTTTCCACAGTGATATTACATCTGCATGTTGAAACAGTACGCGATGCTTGGCGCAAGTATCGGAAGGTTAAATCTGTGCACATTGTGCTTCATGTAACAATGTTTAGTGAATACATAACATTGAGAAAGTATATTATCGTTGTTCCGACAATGCTTTAACCAACATTAGGAATATAATCGACTGTACCTCAAACAATTATTTACTATCAGTGCGTTGTTACTGCACACGTTTTATTTATTAAACACACGTCTCAACAGGCCTGGCAATTCCTGGCAAGTGATCTCACCACACAATCTGCTCTGAGGTAAATCACAATCTGAATATATTGCTTTTAAAAGTGTATATTTCCAACCATCTCCAGTCTAGCCATATTTTGATTCGCCCTGTTGATCTGTAATATGATTGTGATAACTATCTCATAAATTAAAACAATTGAAGGGTGTGACAACCATTATTGGCATGAGTATATTTGGGAAATCATCAGTCATTGATAGAAATAAAAATAACACATGTCATGTGACTAAAACATTCCAGCGCCTCACAGGCAGGTTGAGTTATCCGGGGTAATAATGTGCTGTCTGCGCTATGAGCATGCTGTCGGTGTGGATTTAGCGCAATATAAATGGACTGATGATTATTACGTTTGAATAAAAGAGACTAAACCCTTTCCACAGTCGTAAGAAATATCTGCTAAAAGCAGAGTCGATTGTACAATTGTGACTATGTCATGAGTATATATTGTTTCAGCAATATTACAGCTGTACGATGCTGTTTCTAAACAAATCGGGTCTGGACCAGACAATTGTCACCATGCGAAACGATGACAGAGCATGTATTTATGAATCACTATCAAATAGTAATGATACCTTTACTGAGGCCTTGAATGATGTAAACTTGATCAAACAACTTCTGAGCAAGAGTCCCATGACGCTCTTTGAAATCCTGATGAAAAGAGCACGCTCGACTGTACCTCAAACAATTATTTACTATCAGTGCGTTGTTACTGCACACGTTTTATTTATTAAACACACGTCTCAACAGGCCTGGCAATTCCTGGCAAGTGATATCACCACACAATCTGCTCTGAGGTAAATCACAATCTGAATATATTGCTTTTAAAAGTGTATATTTCCAACCATCTCCAGTCTAGCCATATTTTGATTCGCCCTGTTGATCTGTAATATGATTGTGATAACTATCTCATAAATGTACACATTCAACCTGAGACTATTTGTCCAAACGCAACCACAGATCAGGTCAGAACATGTCGATTGAGACAGCTAGGTCACCACGTGAATTTATCAGAGGACTATAACTTGATATAAAAGGTGGGCGGCTAACCGTACAGGCTTGTAATAGTGAACCTGAAGGTAAACTCAGTTATATACGTGATTTTAATTTGATATGTATCAATTGTTTTGAAGTTCTTCATAATCATTTTATACAAATCTATACGTACAAATATAGAAATATTCACATAATCAACCGGTTCCTATATATGCTCGATATGTTCGATCGCTATTTCAGTATGTGTATTTATCATCCTAATACAAATTTACTTGAAACCCACACGCTATTTTTTACTTATATATTCACAATCGAGAAATGCTCAGTTTTGTTCAAATGGTATTTACACAGTTCGTTTGTTGTTAATTACATTACTCAGCAACATTCCTGCCATATCACCGCAGACTGTAATTACTCTGGACTAGAGAATCCAGTGATCAAAATCATGATCATCGATCTACGCAATTGACCACCAAATCCCGTTAGTCCCTTCTTACGACATGCATGGGTCGCTACAGAAAATTGTAACCCTGAACTTCACAGTTGGGTATTTACGCAGAGGCAATATCATTTATTACTTCACAGGGCAGATATGGCACTACTCCCTCCTGCTGGACTCCCGGAGATTGTCTTCTCCTTTGACACAACCGGATCTATGAGAAGCTGTCTGGCTGAAGTCCGAGGTCGACTCCAGGACATGATACAGCGACTCCAGGCAGACATCCCCGCCATTAGAATTGCCGTCTTCGCACACGGTGACTACTGTACCTCATCCGTATACGTCACAAAGTGGATCGACTTCACCACTGACGTCAAGGAACTCTGCGACTTCGTCATGAACGTCGAAGAAACAGAAGGCATCGGAGACGGTGGCGAGTGTTACGAGCTTGTTCTCAGACAAGTTGGGGAGGAGTTGTCATGGACACCAGGATCTAACCGTGTTCTTGTCGTTGTCGGGGATGATGAACCCCACGGTCCGAACTTCAGAGGCAATACACAAAAGATAAACTGGAGAGAGGAGACAAAAACTCTTAAGAAAATGGTAAGCCCAATTCCTCTCAATTTCTTAACTGTGTACCCGTTGATGCTACAACTAAACACGTTGTGGTAAGTTCTTTAAGTGGCATTTTGAAGTTGGTGTTTTGAACGTGGAGAGTTCTATGGCTGTAAAACTTTATAGTTAATGCGAGCGACGTTTCTGTGTAGCTACTAACACCCTTGTCAACCATGCTTGCAGAAGTTGCATATCCATATAACTAACGCCGATACACTTGCTTGATATTATTTCTGCAAGTGTGGTTGACAACGGTGTTACTAGCTAGACCGACACGTCGCTCATATTGCTAAGAAAGAAGTTTATATCTCTCATCGACGATGTGGTGAGTTGAAATCCTATTAATCTCTGTGTTGAGACTCTTGTCACTTGATCAACAGAAAAGAACAGGATACTGACTATTACTCTTAATGTGTAATCAATGTATTTTCAGGGAGTAAAAATCTATGGCGTTCAATGCAGTGACAGAGCTACAAGGTTCTATCAGACCATTTCCAAAGAGACAAGAGGCCGGCATCTTAAATTGGACAACTTTACGAACATCTTTGACTTCCTCATGGCCATCTGCTACAGGGAGCATGGAGCAGACATCCTTCATGTAAGTTGAAATACCTGCTCTTACCTCTGTCACAAGCCTCTTCAAGACTTTCAAGTTTGCAGTTTGACTTCGCTTGGTTTAATCGACATATGCATAAGAACGTCTCACCTCATATCATTCTATTCTTCAAGCACACTACACAGTCCTCTGCTTATCAGTGAGATTCGTCCTTTCCTTTACCAGGTGTATGAGAAAGAAGTTCGAGCCCGTCGTGTTGATGGTGCCCTCAGCGAGGACATGGAAGGAATGTTTACATCCCTGCGTGATGGAAAGGTCTCCCCTCCTCCACGAAAAAAGACTATTACAATCGGTGCCGCAAAGAAAAAGGATCTCAGTGCTTCCACCTTAAAGAAAACAGCAACCAACAAAAGAGTCCTTAAGGCCAAACCTAAATCAATCAGAACGAAATCAGTAAAGGTAAAGTCTTCTATTATATATTTTAAATCGATGACACTGTTTAGTTTGTAGTAGATATTCGACTATGGTAAATTGAGGCAGTCTCAAATGAAAACTTCATATTAACATTTATTTGGCTATTACAAGTTTAGGGGCGGTGGGGTAGCCTAGTGGTTAAAGCGTTGGCTCGTCACGCCGAAGACCCGGGTTCGAATCCCCACATGGGTACAATGTGTGAAGCCCATTTCTGGTGTCCCCCGCCGTGATATTGCTGGAATATTGCTAAAAGCGGCGTAAAACCAAACTCAGTCAGTCAGTATTACAAGTTTAGTGAAACACATGATGCAATTTCATTATTTCAGAAACGAGCAAAAATTGTTGCACCTGTTTTGAGAAGAGAGGAAGTCTTTGACAACAACTTCAGCTTGAGAAACTTGGACTGGTCACATTGGATCAAGGTTATCTCCCCTAATATTCCACTCAAACTGGGTGTTCAATGGGAGAAAAGACGATGTACCAACTCTGGATTCAGGAAGAAGACGGTCTTCAAGCTCAGCAACAATAAACCAGCTCTCTACGAGGTTGGTGTTCAGAAAACCCCATACGGACGAAAGTTCGTAGTATTTAGCAAGTTCTGTCGCCATATTCCCGATAATGTTAACTGGGAAACACGGCTATTCGGAAACAAAAATGTTAAAGTTCAGGTCAACAATGTTCTGTCTCAGAACTGCAGTGTTTATGTGCGGAGGGTGGTGTACAGAAGAGCATCAAGTCACCTTAAAACTGTAGCATTGCTAAAATCTTATGACTATGCATGGCGACGTCCAAGATCACGCTCTTGTGCCCGAAATGTGTACAAGCAAACCTGCACAATCTCATCAAGCAAATTGTAATTGTCTCTGAGCATGCATTGAAAATTTGACTTTCAAGTTTTCAGTTTGACTTCGCATGGTTTAATCGACATATGCATAAGAACGTGTCACCTCATATCATTCTACTCACCAATGGTTGACCTGTTTTCTGGTGTCACCCGTCGTGGTGTTGCTAGAATATTGCGGCCTAAACGTAAACCCACTGACTCACTCACTCTAAGGGTCAGTGTCGTAGCCACATTGTTTACACGTTCACTGGATTTAGCCGAAAACCGGACTGGCGGCCTCAAACAATATTCACTCAGTCACTCACTCGTCCTCGCTTATCGAGATAACATTTGTTATTAAAATGCATGAGTGATAAAGAGCGTGTCCGAGTCACTGTGAACTATTGTGCTAATTCTGTTGTTTATTTTTTTGTGTGTGATAATGAGCAGTGTGATGTGGTGATCAATAAAGGTATGTAATATGAAAATCTGAATAAACGTATGAACTAAAATGTGCATATTGCTGTTTTTCTTAATTGCAGACTCAAGAAAGAATATTTGGCTAATCATATAGTTGTTCTAATAACGACGTAAATGCATTGTTTAATATCGCATAGCCATGGTGGTATTTTTGTTTAAAGATAACTTATACTGATGTACAGTCTGCCACAAAACTAAAACGTTCTGCAATATCAACCAATAGCATATATACAACGTTTGCTTAAACCAGTCACATAATTGGACATTCGACTAATCATTCTTCATGTATCACATACTTATGAACACAAGACCATAATTATTCTTTCTCTGGTTCATACAGGTATATCCGTGAAGGTCCGGGTTAGAATTAATCTTCAGTAACCCATGCTTGTCCTAAGAGGCGACTAACGGGATCGGGTGGTCAGACTCGCTGACTTGGTTAACACACGTCATCGGTTCCCAGTTGTGTAGATCGATGCTCATGCTGTTGAACACTGGGTTGTCTGGTCCAGACTCGAATATTTACAGACCGCCGCCATATAACTTGAATATTGCTGAGTGCGGCGTTAAACTAAACTCACTCACTCACTCACTCACTAGCTGTTATTTCGATTCACGCATGTGAATGAGCAATGCAAAGACCTTTGTGCTCATCAGGCAGAACTGCTTTTTCACCATAAAGACAACCAGCTTTCTTTCGAAATTCATTGCACCGCGATATATTTAAGATATAATTGATGTACGGTCTCATGAATCGAATACTTCAGAGAGAAACTGAACAATCCACTACTATTATTATTCATATGTTAAACGGAAGAATATTTTGTTTCTGACACATATCATGGAAATACATCTTCCGGCATTTCCATTTGGAAACGTTTTCAATCTCCTACAGTATTAATGCTCTTTGAGTATGCTTTATTTGTGAAAACCGACATATCCTTGTAAACGGACGATCTAACTATATCTCTAAAAGGTGAAAGTGCAATATCCATAAGCAAAATACACACCTGCCATAGTGGTATATATTTCACTTTATGTACTCTTGTCCAGCAAACGTCTTCTTCTTCAGATTTTATTCTCGTTCCAAACTGAAACACAGAAACTAAATCTGTTATCTAGTGTTGTGGAACTGTTCCATTGAAAAAGTTATATATTTTTTATATATCGTTTGATACCTCTTTTAAATCGTATGATATAGCATTGTAGCTATACCAACTTGTTGACGGGTATGGAGATACGGACGTTTCGTACACTTTCATGTGATCAAAAATGATCATTGTAATGTGTACACATTAAAGGAAATACATGTACATAACTAAGTGCATCAAGTTCTGGCTTATTCTACTGCATATGCCAAACTATAGATACCCTGAAGCCTGCTACAGTATGTCGGTACAGCTGGATAGAGTGGGGAGGATAACCTGGGCTACTTATGTGGAGACACTGCTTGACCACCTAGGATTGAGCTACTCCTGGCTACAGCAGGGTGTAGGGGATGTGACCTACTTTCTATCTCTTGTTAAACAGAGGCTTACTGACAACTTCTCTCAGCAATTCTCCAGTGATTTACAGGCAAGCAGCAGGCTCACACACTACAGAGTCCTCTAATTTTAGTTGGATCAGAAAAATAGTTAATGCTGATCAGAGGGAAAAAACTGAGAATAACCCTAACCCGCTTTAGATGCTCAAATCATAAGCTTGCAGTTGAAACTGGGAAATGGGCGAAAACTGAATAAAATGAAAGATACTGTATCTATTGTTTACAACAAGTGGGCAAAAAATCATTCAGGACTAAACACATTCTATATTTATTTGTCCTCACTAAGAAGAATTAAGAACTACATATTTGCCCTGGATGAACAATCGCCACTCAAGCACAGACAACTTCATCAAAGCAATGAATCTATATTCTCTTGAAAGTGCCAAATTTAAATTGTAGCTGCAAGCAAGTGCAGATCTTCCTACCTCAGCAAAGGATAGTTTATATCTGGGAAAATGCGTGCATGTGGTTGTGTATATATATGACTGTGTACTTCAAAGTATTTTACATGTAAGTGTTTCCATGTGTGTGTGTGTGTGTGTGTGTGTGTGTGTGTGTGTGTGTGTGTGTGTGTGTGCTGTATGTGTGTATGTGAGTGTTAGTGTGTGTAAATATATTTCTTTTCCCTTTGATATATTTTTGTGTGTTCTATATATGTGTGTGTAAAGGCATGTGTAAATGTATTATTTCCTCAGATATATTTATGTGTTATATATATATATATATATATATATATATGTGTGTGTGTGTGTGTGTGTAAATGTATTATCCCCTTCTGATATATTTATGCTTGTCTCATATATTTTTCACATATTTATGCATTAATGATGTAAAAGCCTTACACTTTAGGCTGGAGGCCTATCTACAGACAAAAAACACAGTAAAAATACACCGAAGTACAGGTTATGTATGAATTAATACGGATATTCTTGACATTCTTTTCCTTGTATTTAATTTTATCATGAAAACTGATCAGGAGATACAACTGATCTTCTATATCGCATCTGCTCACAAGAGAATATACCATTACAACTGGTCAGTCCTGTTTTTCATGGGTGTGCGGAATTTGTTAAAGCAACTATTAAACGAAGTAAAAACAACCCACAGTTTTATTTTGTTTCTTTTGGAAAATGCTGTTAGCCTCTTGAAATGAAATCGTTTTGATTTGGTGGAAAATGGGTCTGGGAATGGCGAAATCTAAAGATGAAGAAACATGTCAAACCTAATTGTTTTTGGTTAAAACTCAGAGAAAACGTTTATTGTAATAATACATTGAATTAAAATTGCCAGTATATTTGTGCAAGATAGAGCATTATGTTTGACCGCCTATCATATTTGGAAACATAGTGACACTCCTTCTGGGAAGTTTTATCTCAGCAACAATAGACAAATGATTAACCACAGAGAACACAGCTGTATGCATGTTCACACACTTTGGTAAATCATAATGGTTTCCATAATAAACAGCTGAATGTAAGAACGTATTGATTAACGAAGATACGTTTGCCAAGGAAATATCTGCAATATTAATACATGTTTCACGAAGATTATGATTGATGTTCTGCCTGGCAAGTGAAGCATTCCGCGAAGCAATGATGTCACCTCAAAATGTACAAACTCTACCCATTGCGGCTATATACCGTTTACGATGAGAATATCTTCCGACAGACAGTGTAAGGAGACTGGATATAAGCAACGTATTTGAGAGAGCATGTTCATTGTTTCTGAACGCACGTTTCACATGTCGATTCTACATATGACACTTTCAACGAATGAACATTTCCTGAGTCAAAGGTGTTTTAATAACTCCCCGACTACATTTTCATCTCCAACGGCTTAATCAGGTCGTTTCCCTTGTTTCAAAAGAGACGCATAAATTAAAACGCATACACGCAAACAACGTCTGAGCCTCAAAACACAACCACAGAACAGGTCTGAACACGCCAACCGCAACAAGCCCCAGCCCGTTCCCATTGATCGCCTCACAGCCAGTATAAAAGCTGGCCGGCTCGCTGAGTAAGATCAGTTTGCTCATATACACTACTGAAAGACTTAACCGCCTGTCAGTTACTCCTAACAGGAGCACTTATAAACTGCACCTAACTGCAGGGGAACAGAACAAGAACAAAATATTTGCCTTCACCATTCAAAACAGGTAAACTGAGGAACATATTCACAGTGATAGTTTATATATACGTACAATTCTGCGTCTAGAAACATCAACAAAACGGCTTCAGATTATTCCATATTTATCTGCCTTCTTTGTAAGATAAAGGTCAGTAATTAAAATAGGTCTAATACACATTTTACAAAATCATATCAATGACAGAATTGTGAATGAATATTGATGCGCATTTCTTCATCACTTAATTGTCTTCTGTACGCATTAGGATTAATAACAGTGTTTTCAATTTTTTTTCAACAGATTCAGCATGGCTTTGCTTCCTCCTGGTGGACTTCCAGAGATTGTCTTCTCCTTCGACACAACCGGCTCTATGAGCAGTTGTCTGGCCGAAGTCCGAGGGCGACTCCAGGACATGATACAGCGACTCCAGGCTGACATCCCCGCCATCAGAATGGCCGTCTTTGCACACGGTGACTACTGTGACAAACACAACTATGTCACAAAGTGGATAGACTTTTCCACTAACGTCAAGGAACTTTGTGACTTTGTCAACAACGTCAGTAGCACTGGAGGCGGAGACTCCGACGAATGTTACGAACTCGTTCTCAGACAAGTGGGTGAGGAGTTGTCATGGACCCCTGGATCCAATCGTGCCCTCGTCATGATTGGCGACGCCAACCCCCATGAGCCAGACTACCCCGACAACAAACTCAGGATAGACTGGAGGGAAGAGATTCAAACCCTCAATAAAATGGTAAGCTGAAGGTCAAATAGAAGTTTCAACACAACGAAATACACGCATTCAAATGCTCTACACAGTGCTGAAATGCATTTTGCGTCGTAATTGTCATATTGTGTATTTTATTCATCATGTCACATTTGTCAAATCCATCTAAATCATTTCCAGGGAGTGAAGATATATGGGGTAGAGCGTGGATCTGGCACCATGGAATTCTACAAGAGAATGTCACAGGAGACAGGTGGACGCCATCTCCAACTTGACAGCTTCTCCAATGTCTTTGATTTCCTAATGGCCATCTGCTACAGGGAACATGGAGCAGACATGTTTGATGTAAGTTCGCCCTACGCTTATTTTGAACACAAAACCTAAATATTACTCATAATGGATTTAGTGAACTTTCCTCAACATAAATCATTCCCATGCTTTCCTGTTTTAACATTTGTACATGCCATTTCAGGTCTACGAGAAAGAGGTCCGAGGTCGTTGTGCTGAAGGCGCCCTCAGCAAGGACATGGAGAAAATGTTTACATCGCTACGCGATGGAGTAGCCTCCCTTCCATCGCCAAAGAAGATCACAACCGGTTGCAGTGGAAAAAATGTCACGATCCCCACTCTGAAGAAAACTACATCCTTCTCAGGAATTAGAAAGGCCAAGCCTAAATCTATCAGGAGACCAGGAACAAAATCACTGAAGGTATGTTTTATAAATGTTTGTTTTCAAAATGGATAACATTATATATTCAAATGTTCAATTGTTTGGAAAATATTGATAACCGTCATATTTACCGATTTAAGTTATACCACTGTGGCATTACTCTTCTCAAACAAATCGATAATTTGTACATAATGTATTATTTCAGAAACCAACAAAGTTTGTGACTCCTCTTTTGAGAAGAGAGGAAGTCTTTGAGAACAACTTCAGCTTAAGAGACATGGACTGGTCAGCCTGGGTCAAGGTTATTTGCCCTTTTGTTCCTCTCAAACAGGATGCACAATGGGAAAAAAGACGGGGTGCCAACCCTGGATTCAGGAGAAGAACTATCTTCAAGTCCCAGAACAATAAGCCAGCTCTCTACGAGATCAGTGTTCAGACCACCAGGTTTGGACGTAGGTGTGTGGTATTCAGCAGGTTCTGCCACCACATTCTTGATAATGTTAACTGGGAAACACGACTCCTTGGAAACAAAATTGTCAGAGCTCAGGTGAACAATGTTGTCTCTCAGAACTGCAGTGTCTATGTGCGGAGGGTGGTATATAGAAGAGCATCAGGTCACGTCAAAACAGCCGCAATGATGAAGTCCTATGACTACGCTTGGAGGCGTCTAAGATCACGATCTACTGCTCGACATGTTTACAAACAAGGCAGCACAATTTCATCAGACAAAGTATAGACTTTTTCTGAACATTGACTGATAATATCAGGTGTGTGCTGAAAGATACGCGGACATAGCTGTTTTTCCCGAGATGCCACGTATCAAACGGACGTTTCTTTCAATGTATAGAATGTATATGGAGAATGTACATATATGAAATCAGATGACATTCTTGATATTACTGGAATGAGATTTGTCATTGAAAGACAGCGATAACGAATCTCACATCATACAACTTGCTTCATGCTTTATGTGAAGGAGAGGGCATGATGTTTCATTATAGTGCTTGAATGTGGATTAGTGTGTTCATCCGAATGAAAGAGACTGATGAATGTGATCGATGTTGTACATATGTCACTGTTTGTGTTAAGGTGTATATACAACTCATTCGCTGACCTGCATTGTTTATATCTTTGGCAACATGTGCAATGTTAGTATAGGAATAAATAAAACAAACTTTTGAGAAATTAATACACATTATTTTCTTTGACAATGCATTTTACATGAGAGTGTTGTCGTAATCCGAGACATAATACGTCTGATTGCGACTTAGACTTCACTCAAATCACAAACCAAATATCAACCCTCAACTTCCATATATGTTTTAGGACAAACATCACAACGAATAAATGGAACCTTCGTCTCTGTTGGCTACAACATAAGAGATCATTAGTGAGGGTTTAAAAAGTACCATCATCGCAACAGTGCATTTTGTTGTTTACAGAGTTCAAGGTCCGTATCCAAATATTTAGTAGCGGATTCATGGTTCATTCCATACTGTCATCTTTGGTCTGTCAGTACCGTGTCCAAGCTTTGACACAAATAGTAAACGTTTACAAACTTAGTTCATCCGATGTTAAAAGCTAAAAGAAACAGAACACACCAACACTTATACAAGTTATCCAGTTTCTAATATATATTATTGTATTAAATTGTATTGGTATACATTGGGCTTCCTTTCTCCTACCTCAAGCTGATGCTCAGTTATATAACTTGAAAATGTAACTGTAATAACCAAATGGAGAAAAGTCTTAGATGATTTTATGATTAACAACAAGACGCTATTAATTCAGAGAACATTTGCCCAATATTTTGATTGTAGTTTCTATAAATTGTATTAACAATTAATGTAGTTAAACAGTAATAGCAAATGCCCACGAATATCGCCGTTATTGTTTTCTGTTAAAAGCATCACCGACATGCAATGTTACAGTGCAGACCGTGGAATATTCAGCAAGATATGTGGCCATCAGACAGAATTGCTCAGCGTAACAATCCGCGAAGTAAACACGTCACACATTCTTTGTTATATCGCTACACGACACTGCGACAATCAATATAACGGACGTGTCACTAGACGCGAGTGTGTGAATATGTTTTTACACCGCCTTTAGCAATATTCCACCAATATCACCCTGGGGGACACCAGAAACTGACTTCACACATTGTACCCATGTGGGGAATCGAACTCGGGTCTTTAGCGTGACGAACGGACTCTTTAACCAATAGGTTACCCCCACAGCTCCTATCGTGATTAACATTGTCATGACCACCAAAAGACAGTAATGATAATTATGTTCCAAACACAAATACATCGTTTATTTATTTTTACCCTTATTAAAACGTTTACGCACAAGCAACAACTGCTTGCTAACCATGACAATCTTTCTTTCCAAACTCACTGAAATATATTTGAAATATCACTGATGGTCACTATTTCTGATCTAGCTGATAAGCTGAGTATTATAAATATATGTCACTGAAACGAGAGAATATTGTGTGTCTGACATAATGTATATCATGGAAAGTTGGCTTTATTATATTGAATCATATTACTTTGGTAGCATGGGACTTTCCATGGAAATGTTTTTGTTATACTTTCAATTGCTACCTACTGTGAATCGTTTGATAAGGCATTTTCTTTTAAGTTACTTTATCAGCATGTATCGAGTTACGGTGGTAACTAACACAGAAGCTTTCAATGTTATATGTAGACAGTTAAAAAAGGATACATGGAATTTCAGTGCAAATGAAAATAGATAATAGAATGGTATTTATAATTAACTTCTTTTCCCAGGGTACATATTGTGGAAGCTAGCAAAGATAGTACAAGTGATATTTCACTTTTCACAAGGATATACCTCATATGATAGCAATGTGATTTGCAAGGTTCAGGAAAAGCATGCTAAATATGCGGACCTCGCCAATGAAATGCCTCGATTGCATCCCAAGTACACTGTCGTCAGACTCCCCATTGTTCTCGGTGCCCTTGGTTTGGTATCTTCTGATCTCTTGGCGCAGATCAGGAGAGTGCCCGAGTTCTCCACCGGGAGCACAGCCCTTCTGACATTCTGGGTAATGCAGAAGGTTGCAGTTTTGGGAAGTCTTCATATTCTCCGGAATGTTCTTGGTGGGTTCGACTAAGCAGCGTTTTCTGGGAGAAGTCCCATTTGCTGTCTGGGCTGCGTGTAGACGGGGCAAGGGCCCTGAACTGATGATGAGCCTTACCAGCCTGACTGTGCCAGGATCACCCAAACCCTCTCTGCTGCATTTTTCACGCTTCACTACTGGTATTTAAAAACACCTGGTTCAAGGAATAACTTCAAAACGTATCCTGTCAGAGGGGGTGGGATAAAAGTGAAAATTCATTACGCGGAAGGTAACATCAATTTATGCAAATGGTTTCCAAAAAGTACCGTCAGTCTGGTGAAACTGGAAAATACAACGAAACGGTATATATTTTGTGCAAAATAGTGTACAGTCTTGTAACTATGTTATATTTGCGGTTACACATTCTTAATAAAGTACAGATTCTAGTACTTTGGGGGATTGAGTCCCATACGGGATTCGAACCCACACCCTCAGAGTCAGGCACCTTAATCACCAGCACACATAGTCAGCCGCCTAATCCTCTCGGCCATCCCGGCTTCCACAAAGAATAACTTTGTCTGCTGGCTACAATTTCTTAATTCCAGAAACCATCAAAGTTTGTGACACCTCTTCTGAGAACGAACATATTTGACCTCCTCATGGCCATCTGCTACAGGGAGCATGGAGCAGACATCCTTCATGTAAGTTGAAATAACCTCTTCTCCTGTCATAGTATTTTTCATATTTCCCCACATTAAACATTAAACAACATAAAGGAAACGAAACACGTTTATCGGGGATGTTTGTTTTTCTCTTCACCAGTTATACGAGAAAGAGGTTCGAGCCCGTTGTAGGGATGGTACCCTCGGCTATGACATGGAAGGAATGTTTACATTCCTACGTGATAGAATAGCTTCCCCTGTTCAATCAACAACGACGACGACAACGATTACAAGCGGCGCCGCAGAGAAAACTGCGACGGCTTCTCCCTTAAACAAAATAACATCCATGCAGAAAGTCAGGAAACCAAAACCCAGATGCATCAGGAGGACAAGGACAAAACCTTGATGGATAAATTTAGTTATTCTGTTATGGCTTGTCAAGACGTATGATCTAACAATTTCTTAATTCCAGAAACCATCAAAGTTTGTGACACCTCTTCTGAGAAGAGAGGAGGTCTTTGAAAACAACTTCAGCTGAAGAGACATGGACTGGTCATCCTGGGTTAAAGTTATCTCCCCTGACCTTCCTCTCAAACAGAATGCACAATGGGAGAAAAGACGGGGTGTCAACCCTGGATTAAAGAGAAGGACAGTCTTCAAGTCCCAGAACAATAAGCCAACTCTCTACGAGATCAGTGTTCAGACGATCAAGTACGGGCGTAGGCGTGTGGTATTCAGCAAGTTCTGCCACCATATTCCCGATAATGTGAACTGGGAAACACAACTCCTTGGGAACAATGTTGTCAGAGCTCAGGTGAACAATGTTGTGTCTCAGAACTGCAGAGTGTTTGTGCGCAGGGTGGTATACAGAAGAGCATCAGCTCACGTCAAAACAGCTAATCAATTCTTAACCTATATTTCAAATGTAATCATTTAGTTTTTTTCAACCCAAAGAGTGAGTGGTTGAAATATGTAATAAATTATATAAAACATAATTTGAGCATTTTCTTTCGGTTATTGTCCACTAGATGAAGGAAATGAAGAGGTTCCTGTTTAGGCTTTATGTATTGGTCATCGTTAAGTTTAATTTATAATAAGTTCATATTGCTGAAATATACTCACTGCGCACACGGAAGGAGATCTGGGTCGCGAAAAGGTAAACAAAGTAATATGAAATTCTGTATAGTATTAGCATATCTCTTAAATGCTGTTCAAAATATGGGATGTTTTGAGTAGCAGCTATATGTTCACGAAAATACAACACATAGACGGTTCTTGAACAAAGTGTTACGATGTCTGAAATGGCACAGAATTTACGTCATCGAATTATTACAATGCATATTCACACAATCATGATCTTTTCTTGAAATACACACGTAGTTAATGATTTATATATTCAAAGGATCAGCTATGGTGTATTTCAGCCCTATGCAAACAAAATACATTCATCGTTGACCTGTGTGTCACAGAATCACAGAATATATTTTATCGGCTACTACTGGTCATGCAACTGATTTTCCGCGAAGCAATTTCGCCATCGCTATTTTTTAGAAACTCCTCAAATATGTCGTTCACTGAAACTGTATACATTAGTGTGAGGAGCACTGACATAAACTGTGCATTTGGGAGAGTATTTTCATCTGTTCTGAATGTGTTTCATGTGCCAAACGGAATATCACCCCATAATATCTTCCCGTCATTGGAAGCTCATCAATAACTTGTTTGTCGTAAGAGGCGGCTAACGGGCTCGGGAGGTCAGGTTCCCCAGACTTGGTTGACACATGTCATCGTTTTCCATTTGAGTAGATCGATGCTCTTGCTGTTTATCACTGGATTGTCTAGTCAAGATTCGATTATTTACAAACGGCCGCCATATAGCTGGAATATTGCTGAATGCGGCGTAAAACAACTCACTCACCCTCACTTGTAAACAGAAATTTGGGTTGAAAAAGGTACACAGAAACACAGAAGCTAAATCAGTCGACTGACATACAGTGCACGTGAACGCCATTTGTATCTGCATGTATAAGCTGCATCTAATATTAGCAGATTCATAATCCACAAGAACTAAACTAAATATCTAATGCTACCCTTTGAAAAGGTATTAAGGCATTTACAGTGTTAGTGTATATACATGCATACAAATCTGTGTCCGATAACAGCCTCACAAACCTTTTTCAAAGAACGTGCATGCGCGCATTCATTTTGTAAAGGAAAGGTGGACAACTGAATTACGTTTACTTAAACTAACGTACAGCTATTTTCTATATTTAACACACATATAGTATTAATTTAGCTATGAATACATGAATGTGCCAACTGAATAATCCGGTATGTAGAAGTAACCTCAGCAGCGGAAATGCTTAGTAGTGCTACAAATCTTCGTATCCCTTTTACGTTTTTATTTACAAAAGTACATTTACAAATTAGAATTGTTGT